GAATAAATTAGCCTGCACTCTGAATTGTATAAAATCCTGAGACATAGTTGAGAGAGCAGTTTATTTATTGCATTTGCAATGAATGTCTCACTTGGTATATTGGTCTTTTGGGCCCAGCCAAGTAAGACATAGCAAATACTATAAATAGAAGTGTATTTTTGTTCTTTGGAACACACTTACAGGTCAAATTTTTCTTTTTTAAAGAGCATCTAAATTCTTTGCTAAGAATTCGCTGTTCTTTTTGAGAAGTACTGTTGTGTCTAAGAATTCCCCCATACCCATTTCCCTTTGGGTTGAATAGCAGCCTAGAATTGGAGACAAAAATGATATCATTTTAATATTTAATTATGCTAAAGATACAGTGTCTCTAATCCTTGGGGAAAATAATGGATTACTCTTCATCATGGTTATTCAGATGGAAAATTAGGCCTGGCTCACTCCTTCCCCTTGTTATTTTGAAATAAATGCAGATGGATCAAATATTTAAATTTAAAAAGTAAAGTCAAACACATATTAAGAGAAAACATGAGTGAAAACATTTTAAATTCAGAGCTGAGGGATGGCTCGGAGGTTGAGAGCACTGGCAGCTCTTCCAGAGGACCCGGGTTCAATTCCCAGCAGCCACATAGTAGTTCACAACCGTCTGTAATCAGACCTGGGATCCTCTTCTGGTGTGTAGGCAGAACACTTGATGCATAATAAATAAATAACTCTTTAAAAAAATTAAACTTGAAGGAGGAGAGATTTTTCTGGTATGGCACGAGTCCTAGAAGGTGTGGAAGAAACTTAAAGTGTTAGCTTTCTTATTTTAACCCTGATTTTGAAATTCACTGTGGTGTATCCATTTTTCCATGTTAGATTTCAGTTATGTAGTACTGTCTAGTGTAAGCATACCATACTTTATATAACTACATCCTAACTTTATATACTTTTCTAAATTGATACAATTTACATCATATATATATATATACATATATATATATATATGCAGTATGTCATAAATTATTTCTGTAAAGGGATTTCTCTTACAGATAGATTTCCAGGTGGGTACATATACTTGAGGACACTGTACACTGTACAGTGTTAGGTTCTTGAGTTTTATTTTTGTTGCTGTTGTAGGGGATTGTTTGTTTTTTTTACTTACCTACAAGTGTTCAGGACTGCACATACAAGTGCTGGCTGCTGTACTATCTATTTTTACCAACATCAAAGATACTTGCATACATTTATTGAATTATTAATGATATCCAGTGGCTGTTAATGTCATTGTCTTATTTTAACCAATTACTTTTAATTAAACAAGATCTCCTGTAGTAAATAAATAAACCCGCATTATAAGACAATATACAATGAAAAATACATTGCTCTGCCTGAAGGCAATTATCAGTGGCATCTCCCCCCCCCCCCCGCCCCATTTCTTGGGAATGTTCTTATTGCATTACACAGATAACTCAACTATTGCTTATACACACATGCTTCTTCTGTTCTTGTTTTTTTTGGGGGGGGTGGAATAGAATATTATAGAAAATCCCTAATTTGCACAACTAGGTTTTCTTTATCTCTTTTTAGTGTGATTTTTTTTTTTTTTTACAATTGATTTATTTATTAATGTGTAAGTGGGGAAAGCACCCATACCAGAGCTTATGTTTGGGTCAGAGGACGTCCCACAGGAACGAGTTCTTTCCCTCTCTCATGTGTGTTCTGGGGATCAAAGTCGGGTCCTTAAGTTTGGCCGCAAGTGTTTAACCCGCCGAGCCATCTGTGGTCTGAGTTGGTATTTTTGTTCTTTCTCTGGGCATTTTACTTGGGAAAGTGGGAAGGACTCTGAACGTGAGAAAAGCACCTTCTGATCAGCTCGCCTTCTTATTCGTGTCCTGGGCAGACGGCCACCTTGAGTTGTGTGATTTGGGTTGAGATGGTTAGTAGGGCAGTTAAGAGGGTCAGGGTCAAGGGCTTGGCTCTGCTACTTCCGACCTTTGAGCTGGGCTTTGAAGTTCTCTATGGATGGAATCTTTGTAGGCACTGAGTCAGCCAGTGTTGACTGTGGGCTCCTTTGAGACCAGTGTGACAGGCCTCAGCTCTGTAGCCAGGGAGCCTCAGTTTTGTTAGCCACCCTTCCATCTGTCCTTCCTCCCTCCCTCTCTCCCTCCCTCCCTTCCTTCCTGTGTGCACGTGTGTTTTGTCTGTGTACCATGTACAAGCCTGGTGCCTTCAGAGGGCGTCTGAGTCCCTTGAAGCTGGAATTGCAGACAGTTGTGGGCCTCCATGTGTGTGCTGGGAATCGAACCCAGATCTTGTGGAAGAGCAGCTTGTGTTAATCCCTGAGCTGTGTCTGAAGCCTTTTTGTTGTCAGAAGCCTCTCTCTGCCTCACTGAAGGTAGGCTCTGTTACTCTGTGGAGAAGGACATTGGCCACTGCACCCTAATTTCACTCTTGGTAAAGCCTTGGCATTCATATTGGTGATTTATCTATTCTTTATTGGAGTTTGGACTCACTGCAAATGGAAGTCGGAAGAAGAATGGCAGCATAGGAAATCTTAGCTTGTCCTCTTGGATTCTGAATTTTTAAAACAAATGTATAAGGATGCTTAAATACATTAAATTGGGTGTTTACATGAAGTTCGCCACTTTGACTGTCTTGAGATGCTAAGCACAAGCCTTGCAAGGATTAAATATCCAGAACATCTTTATTGATGAATGTGGAAGGGCGTGTCTTTTGAGGAGTTTTGGTGCAGATTACAGCCAATAGGAAGAGTCAACATTTAGATATCAGTGCACACCTTTCCAATTTGGTCAAGTCTTTCTCCTGAAAACATACTGTGTTTTTCCAGTTACACATACTTGCTTTAGCTTAAAGTTAGGATTGTATCATAGCCAAATTAAATATTATATCAGTGGCTAACAGCTAAATATTAACACCATATATCAGATCAATATAAATGTACCTCAGTTTGTATGTAGATCACTTCTAGCTAATGGTTATCAACTTTTCTCTTCAAATTCACTTTTGACTTTATGAGAGAAGTAGCACACTTCTCTTTGTGAGACTTTATGAGAAGTTGCTGGTTCGCGGTAAGTTTGCTGACCTGAAATGATGGGAAGCTTGAAATACCCCCTTGCTCCCACTAGAGGGGCTCCTTCCAAAGGACACAGATGCTCCTAGACCAGCGTGAAATCCTTCCTGTGACATTGCTGTTTCCTTGAGAGTAAACTGAAGCAATCTCGTTTTTTTCGGTGGGTGCTAACCTTAGAACCTTAAAGAACAGAGAATTTTAGGACAGTAAGCCAGGATGCGTGTTTTAAAATCATAGCCTTTGAAGAAAACAGTTTTGTGAAGTTACTTAAATGAGTTTCAGAGTCTAGTAAGGAGTTTTGAAATACCCTTCAGCCTGCTAGAGAGAAGCAGAGTTGAAGCAGAAGCCAGCCTGTGCTCACAGTCACATGCGGAGCTCTAAATTCCACAGAGAACGCTGCTCTCACCTCCCCTTGTCAAATATAGTAAAGCCTTATCTTTAAATAGATTTCTATTTGCTACTGATTTTTTTTTTTGCTACTTGACTTTTAAAATCTGTTAAAATATGCAGAACTCACTCTGTAGATTCCAATCTCAACTTTAATATGCTCAGCAATAATTGTACGTATGTGAAAACACCCACATCAGGGTTGTGTGTCCTAATCGAGGGATGAGGACGGCGGCTCGTAAGCAGATGTCACAGAATGCCCACAGTAGTTGAGTTTGGAAGTGTTCCCCCAAAGGTTTGTAGCTGAAGTCTTCAGTGTCAATTAGGAGTTGTCATTTTAAAATTATCTGATGTCAGTAGCTTGGTGTTGCAGAAGGCAGGACGCAGGAAATTCCAAGGTGTAAGCTTTTGTGTGGAGGGAAGGGATCCTAAGCTAACATCTATAATAAGGCTTCTTTCTAAATCTGCAGTTAGCTTTGGAAATCGAAGTGTAAACAGAAATGGTGTAAGTGGATCTTCCCATGATTTTCCACTCTAGCTGATCCAACATCTCAGTCTTTAGCCGAAAATCACATTTGATATCAGCAACATATGGTTTTCATCACAGCGTAGCTGCTCATCTTCTTAGTGCGGCATCCTGGCTGCCGGCTCTCTGTCTTGGGGGGAGGGGAGGGGGCTCTGATCTTCATCAGCGCTTCCTCTTGAACTCTTCAGTTTTCCGCTGGCCCTCGGTTGCCAGGATGGTCTTCCTTGGTGTCCCCGTCATTTCTAGCAGCACATGTTGGTAAGGCCTGTGGGCACCTGCTTCAGGACAGGGACAAGTCCATCCCAGCCGCTACCCCGACAGCCTTCACCAGGTGCCCAACACTCAGACTGTCTCCCTCCTTCCTGGTTTCTTTCCTTCACATTGGCTCTTTGTAGTAGCCAAACTTAAGAGCTTAAGACACTAGGCTGAATAGTTATGTTTAAAAACCAGTAATTATCAATACATGTCATGTTTCACACAGCTTTTAAGTTCATGGTAATGAGCTCTGTCGTCTACGGCACAAGACTGACAGACACTCTTGAAGTTTTGCCATCATTTGATAACTCGCTGCCTAGGTTCTGCCTGCCTTTCCCAGAGCACTGCTTCCAAGAACTCTTGCTCTACAGCATTCCAGAGGTTGGCCCCGCCCACTCTGCTGTGAGTAGGACAAGAAGCTACTAGCAACAGAGAAGAGGCACTCAGCACAGTAACTGCTGACCTGAGCGAGCAAGGGTGCCTTCCCCTCGCTGTCCATCCATCGGTAGCAAGACAGCATCGTGTGGTGTGAGCAGGATGGTCCTGTGGAGGACTTGCACCACCACACCCATGGGGCAGGTGGGCCCTCCCAGTGAAGCCCCCTGGCCCGATGAGGAGTCACAGAATCCCTCCTGACCTTCTCCCTAGGCAGGCTTCAATGGACAGCTTCTTCCCCATCTCACCCAGCGTGGGCGTCTAGGGCTGTACTCAGAGGGATTCTTGACAGTGCCTAAATTATTTCTCTCCTTATGATTTCAGGTTGAAGTCTTGGCCTCGGACGATGCAGCCTTTGGACTCAAGGTGTGTGGCCTGGTGTGGTTTATCATGCAGGTCCTGTCGTCCCCGCCCCTCCCATTCCCACCCCCCATTCCCTAGGCTTCAGAGTGAGGCTTTGCTGTTTTAATCAAACACCAATGGGCTAACATAAGCACGTGTTCACATTACTTAGGCTGTGGTTGGGGTTAGACTTTTGGTGTAAGGAACTACAGAGAGCCCAGAGTTTTGTGTAGTAGTGAGTGGCTTCTAAATTTGCTTTTAGGCCTGGAGCAAGGTTTTCTGACACCCTACCTCATTGTCGACCCCCATTTGGGGAAGTGAATGGCTGTAACCACTGCCCCTCAACATGCTGCATTGGGCTGATAGCTCCTGCTTTGCTAACTGATTGATTCCTAGCCCCTACTTCATGCTGATCCCCACGGGTCTTGTCACTACTGAGTTAAAACCTAGCCTTCTCCGGGAGCCCACAGTTGGCAAAGGCCTGTAAACAGATGAGTCATGGTGGGGTGGGTTTCAGTCGGCTCAAGCTGCCTGCTGCGTCCATGCTTAGGGAGGAGAAGGTGTGCAGGAGCAAAGCAGAGGAGGTCTTCCTAGGAGTCAGGCAGGGCCCTGGGCTGAGTTCTAAAGGCCTGGATTATATGGAGACTGGTCGCAGCAAGGAGAAGCGAGAGCTGCTTTGGGCTAGGCCAGCCGTGGAAAGATGTTGTAAGTGAATGAGGAGCCGAATGAGCAGCCACGTAGTAGAGAGGCCTGAGCTCATTTCTGCAGGAGTCTGGGGTATAGAGAATAGGTGCCCTAGGAAAGCAATTTGCTGGGAGCCTGGGAGCATGGGGGCGCACTTTCACCTGACTCTTTCCTGTTCTGTGTCCTCACAATCAAATTACAAGTTGGCCCTGTTTGTCTTTCTGGCATTTCCGCTTGCCATTCAGTGTACTCCCAGGCTCTTAATTATGCTAATAAGTGAAATGGCCATCCCATCAGAGCTATTCTGAGGCTATAAACTTACCAAAATTATTCATCACAATTTAAAAGAAATTATAAATTAATACATAAATACTAAAAGTTTATGTGTTAAAAGTTAATGTGTTTTTATGTTTCATGTCAGAAGTTACTAAATATCATAATTCTGAATAGAGTTAATTCAGTATTTATAGGACTGAACACATGATCATCATCTTCTGAATCTTTGGTTTTGAATTTAATTCCCAGCATGCATGAAGAAAATTCACTACATCCTTAATAAGCCTGTGAACTTATCTCCTGGATCCACTGTATTTATTTATTCAGCAAAAAGATGAAGGATTAGTGGAGACTTCCTCTCTGGTATCCCACTGGCTGGGGCGTGGCTTGGTGTCCCAGAGTGTGTAAATCCAACCACCAGCTTTTAGAGCCCTGAATTCCAGTTATAGGAACCTTTTCCCAGTAAACTGGTCCAGTCTTCAGAGTGTTTTAGATGCCTTTTTACTTTTGCAGATCTATAGAAATTTAAAAAATGAAATTTTTGAAGGATTTTGGTTTTACAGATTTACTTTCTGGAGCTCAGCAAATATACTTCAGCTTGAAAATTTATCTTATTTCTTCGAAAATTGAGATACTTGGCATTAGTCACAACAGACGTGCCTTTCTATTAACATTGCTGAGAAAAGGAATTAAAATGTCAGCCTCACATGCAGCTCCTGCGAGAGTACCGTCTCCTCAGCTCCACACGACGTGTCCATCCCATGTGTCTGCTCTTTCTTTTCCTTTTCATCTTACTGCATTTTTTTTGTTTCTAATTATTCACCTCTTGTATATTTTCCCTTATTTTAGGCCTGACTAAAGTCTATGAGCTTCTTATTAGTTCAGATGACTTCTACTAGTGTCCCTGGACGTGGACTCCACAAGATACAAAGAACTTGTCATGTTTGGATGTGGTGAATAATACCCAGGAAGACCATTTCCATCTTAGAAAACGAGCCTGTTGTTAGGGCCGACTGGAAATTAATACTTTCCTGCTAATCTAGGGGGACATAGCTATACTGGTGCTTATTACATGTTATTTTCATACAGGTTCAGGCGTATTGTTTACCAAGGCTTAGCTCCAAAAGAACTCAAACCCTTGTAACTACCTCACAGTGTTAGACACTCCAGGTGTTTTCGTGGAGTTCTAAACTTATAAGTAATTTCACATTTCTTGAGATTATTTTACTTGTGCAATCAAGATGCATAATTAATTTTAAGTTATGGGTAGTTGTGCAAACAAGAATCACAATGAATCAGAGTGCCTAGTAATGAAGCGTGCACCAACATCTGTCTTCATAGGAGAGGGAGACTAACCTAGAGACCATTGTTTGTAACTTTGGTTTTGATCAAAATTTGAACATGGTAATAACCATTGTATAATTCTACAGAATATCAGTCCCAGGGACAGTCAATATGCTTGGTTACTGTTCTGTATGATCATTGTGTCTTCCATGTCGTAAATGAGCAACGTAAAGTTGCCAGCAATACTGAATGGATGGGTCAACTGAACATACATACACACACACACACACACACACACACACACACCTTTAGGTGAATAGTTAGAAACTTGAAGAGTTTAATAGCTTGGTCAAGTTCACACTGCTAATCAGTAGCAGAGCTGGGATTTGAACCAGCAAGGTCAAATCCAACGCCTTTTCACTTCTTTTTCTGGATGCTGTGGGAATTACTGTGATGTGTACACCATTATCCACCCCACTCTTCACTTCCCATCTCCTTTCCATCCCCTCTGCACCCACCCTCCCCTCTCCCTAATGACTTCCTTAACTCTAAACTCCAGAGAGTGACTCAGTCCTGTGGGAGCCATGGCATCCTCCCCTGCTTCCCTGCCTCCTCGGAGGGTGATGCCCCTCTGGCTTCAGCAGTGCTTAGATGAGTCTCTTCTCGTCCATCTTGCTCTGCTTTGCCCGGGTAGTTCTTCCTCTCCACTTGCCAGGGCTCCAGCCTAGATTCTGCTGCCCTTGTTCTGCCAGCAATGTGCCTCCTTCCCACGCCAGCCATTGTTGCGTAAGGCAGGGACTCACTCTGCAGCCTGTTCAGGCTGGCCTTGAACTTGTGATTCTCCTACCTTGGGCTCCCATTTGGCACCACTGGCTTGAGTCATTGTACCTCACTCCAGGGCATATCCTTAAATGTCTCTCCAAATGAATGAGTGTGCATGATGGTAAAAGAGGATATGAACATCTCTCTCTTTGTTCAGCACAAGGCAAGTTCCGAGAGTAAACTCCTGGCACTTACTTAACAAAATAGAATTTCGTTAGCAAAATAGTTTACGAACTCTGATATGTTGTTTGGCCATTATGTTCTTTTGAAGAAGAAACCCTTGGTTGTTATAGTCCTTTTCCATAATTTTTGATATGGACTATTATAAAAATGGTATTTGGTGAGAACAGTTTATATCACAGGGGCTGGCAAGATGGCTCAGTGGGTAAAGACACTTGCCACCGAGCCTGAGGACCTGAGTTCCCTCCCTGAAAACCACGTGGTGGAAGGAGAGAACCAATTCTTTCAAGTTGTCTACTGACCTCCACATGCGAGCCACGGCACACATGCACCCCCCTCAAATGGATGGATGGATGGATGGATGGATGGATGGATGGATGGATGGATGGATGGATGGATGGATGGATGGATGGGTGGATGAATGGATGG